TTTTCAAATTAGAAGCCTTGTTTTCTAGGCCGAAGGCTTCTGTTGTACCTGTCTCTGGTCGATTTCACTCTCAGGCAGTGTCCAAGAGGTGACGGGTATGAATCCAGCTTATTCCAGCCTCTCACCGGCGGCACTTGCCCAGGGCTGTCCTGTGTCTCATTCATGTCATTCAGTGAGCACTCCAGAGACCCTAACTCTATGCCGGGCCTTGGACAATAAGCTGTGTGGGACACACTGATACTTAGCACTCAGTCCCTACTCTTAAAGGGCACAGAACACTGTGATACCAACATACTGCACCCCAGCACAGCTGGAGACAGTTGGAGCAGTCCATTTCAGCTTGGGCCTTCACAAGAGGCATGTCACAGCAAGGTGACCTGTGAGCCAGTAGCATTCAGGGCCTGGTAAATAAGCCACCTCCTTCCTAGGCTGAGTCTCTTATTCTCGTCAGCACATCACATAATTATTGAATAATTATTTGGTGCCAGGCACTGTACAAAAGTAAACCGAAAACTGAACTTGTGGTTGTCTTCATTCTACTACTCATTAAACATCTAATGGGTCTTTTTTGTGTATTAGGATTCTGTGCCAAGAGTATAGAATACAGGTATGAAAGAGTCACTGCTTGGGAGTTGCTCCTTGTCTCTTGGCAAGACCAATAGTAAATGGCCTGTGACCTTACTGAGATTGAGGCCATGATCAAGGTAACCCTGGGCACTGGGGGAACACAGAGGGCTCATCCTTGGTCTGGGAAGACATCCTAAAGAAGGTGATGTCTGAGCTGAGCCTGAGTCATTAGAAATTTGTTAGGTGAAGGGGGAGAAAGCAGAAGGTGAAGCGTGTTAAAAGCAGAGGGAACAGCATTGTTCACAATAGCAAGAACCTGGAAGCAACCATGCTGCCCATCAAAAGAGGATTGGATTAAAAAAATGTGGTACATATACACGATGGAATACTACACAGCCATAAAAAAGAACAAAATCATGAATTTTGCAGCAACTAGATGGATGGAACTAGAGTCTATAATACTGAGTGACCTCTCACAAAAACAAAGGTCCGAGTATCACATGTTTTCACTCATATAATGGACCTTGAACATCCAATCTAATACTATAAGAAAATGACTGACAGTAGTGGGAAACTATGGCGGGAGGGAGATGGAATTAACGAGCAAATACCTGTCTGGGGATGGGGAAGCACCTCTAATCAATAGAGTGCCTGAAAGAAACGTATTTGTATACCTAACCCTTAACTGTACCCCACAACATCGTAATAAAAGTATTGATTATTGGGGGAAAAAAAAAGCAGAGGGAAAGCATGTATGTGCAGGAGGTCATGTCTGGGCAGCTGCTCAGCATGGCTGGAAAGCAGGGACTGTGCAGAGAATAGTGCAGACTACTATGCAAGAAAGGGGAGCAGGGAGGGGCTCTTGCTAATTCCACCCAGCGGACTCCCACCACCCCTGGGGATAGATACCGGGGTATGTGGGCTCCAGAGCGAATGCTGTTTGGAAGAAGGCTCCTCTGCTTCTATGCCAGGCCCCTCCCCAGAGGGCCTGCTCTGGGCAGGCTCCTTTAGCTGCCTGCAGACATGATGGCCACTGACTTCCCTACTGCCCTCTTGCCACCACACTCTCACAGCCCCCTAATTAGTTATTGATCTGGCATGTTGCTGTGGCTATGCTTTCCACTCCTGTGTTCAGTCGATCCCCAAGTTAATGAAGCCGAACTCTGTACCAGCCCCTGCCCTGTCACCTCTGCCTGTGCTACCACTGATGCCACTCCAGCTGACCACTCTAGACGAGACACCGAAAATGAACCACACTCCTGTAACAGAAAGACGGTGCAGAAGCCGGTGCAGGAGGATTGTCCCTGGAGGCAGCTGCAGAAGATGCCTGTTGCCTCTGTCAGGTCTGCCATCCTGGGGCCCAGAATTCTTCCATGGTGGCCTGAGTTTGGTGTGGATTAAAGAGGAGCTTCCAGCCCCATGCTCCTGTGTCTCTGGGTGGCCCTGTAGGGTAGCAGATGGTAGCCTGGGAAAAATCGCTTCTTCCTTTCTGGATATGATTTTGGTTCAGTCATTTAAGTCCACTCAGTTTCTAGTTCCTTAATGTAGGCATTCTGTTGTATCTTCCCAGGGTGTTGGGATGCTCTGAAACTTCTTTGAAAACAGTAAAATGGTGTAAGAAGGAATGGTGGGTTTGCTGTCATTTAAAAAGAATTGGAATCCAGGACAACCTATGTTTCAGATGTGGAGAAAATTAAGCAAACAACCCAGTTTAGAAATGTGCAAAGGACTTGAATAGACTTTTGTCCAAAGAAGGTATATAAATGGTCAATAAGCACATAAAAAGATGCTCAACATCATTAGTCATTAGAGAAATAGAAATCAAAACTAAAATGAGATAGCATGTCCCACCCATTAAAGTGGCACACATACAGAGACAACAGCAGGCATTAGCCAGGATGGAGGGAAATTGGAAACTTCGTGCCTTGCTTGTAGGTCTACACCCAAGAGGATGGAAAGCAGAGACCCCAAAGTGTTTGTACACCTATGTTCATAGCACCATTGTCCACAATAGCCAAGAGGTGGAAACAACACAAATGCCCATAGAAAGATGAATGAATAAACAAAATGTGGTCTACATGTACAATGAAATATTACCCAGCCTTAAAAAGGAAGGAAATTCTGACACGTGCTACCACAGGGATGAAACTTGAGGACATTATGTTAAGTGAATGTCACATATGGACAAGTGCTGCATGACTCCACTTATATGAGGTACCCAAAGTAGTCAGATTTATCTGTTTTTATCAGGGTATGAGAATGAACCAAGAGTAGAAAAACTTGCAGAGACAGGAAGTGAAATGTTGGTTGCCGGGGCTGGTGGGAGTAGAGCAGGGCACTCCTGTTCAGTGGCGCAGAGCTTGGGCTGGGGCAGGCGAAGTTGTTCTGGAGCTGGATGTGGTGATGGTTGTACAATAATGTACTCAGCTTCGCAGTTAAAGTAGCAGATACGTGTGCTTTATCACAGTTTTTAAAATGATAATTTAAAAATGGTTGAAGTGGTAGATCTTTCTTTTTATTTTTTATTTTTTGGAGTTGGAGTCTCACTCCCTTGCCCAGGCAGAAGTGCAGTGGCACGCATATTCACGGCCACCCCAGCATCGACCTACCAGGCTCCATTGTTTGTTCCGCCTCAGCCTTCCAAGTAGCCGGAACTCGCACTACCTGCTGTTTTTTATTTTATTGTAGAGAGAAGGTCTCGCCAATTTGCCTCAGGCTCGGGCAGTCCACTCGCCTCAGCCTCCCAAAGTGCTGGGATTACAGGCTGAGCCACCAAGCCCAACCCTAGATCTTATGTTATATACAGATGTTCCTCAACATATGATGGAGCTATGTCCCAATAAAGCCAAAGAAAGTTGAAAATACACTGTAAGTCAAAAATGCATTTAATACACCTAGCCTACCAAACATCATAGCTTAGGCTCTCCTACCTTAAACGTGCTCAGAATACTTAAACTAGCTTACAGTTTGGCAAAATCATCTGACACAAAGCTATTTTACAATAAAGGGTTGGATACCTCGTGTAACTTATTGAATACTGAAAGTGAGAGCAAAATGGTTATGGGTACTTGAAGTGGTTTCCATTGAATGCCTCTTGCTTTGCACTATCATAAAGTCACCTGTACGAGGGGGACCCAGAAAAACCTGGAATTATCTCTTGGAGGGTGGGCCCTGGTGATACAGTCTTCCTCCACTAGGTAAGTTTTCTAGGAGCCCATTGGCATCAGTGTACCAGCTAGCGTTGTTGTGAGAGGCTGCATTCAGCTTCCGTGAATTTTTTTTTTTTTTTTTGAGATTGTTTCAAGGCATTTGCCTATTTCATGATGGGTGATTTACGAGTGCACCTACCTGCACCGTGCTGAACGTTCAGCGAAAATGACATGACCTCCATGTCCCACCCTCCCTATTCACCAGAACTCACCCCAAGTTTCCCTGGATGAAAAAAGTACATTTTGCTGATGTGGAAGAAGTGAAACAAAAAATGTCAAAAGCACTAAAATCATCAAAATGACAAGTTCAAAAACTATTTTGAGTAGTGACAAAAACGTCTTCATAGGAGAATTGCATCAAATGGAGAGAACTTTGAAGGTGACTGAGGTTTAAACATGTAAGAATACACAAGTTTTTATAAGTAAATTACAGTTTTGGGAGGCTCTCCCCCTCATATATTTTCCACAATTTAAAAAACAAAAGGCCAGACAGATGGCTCATGCCTATAATACCAGTGCTTTGGGAACCTGAGGCAGGAGAATCGCTTGAGGCCAGGGGTTTGAGACCAGTCTGGGCAATATAGTGAGACACCATCTCTACCAAAAAATGAAAAAGCTAGGTGTGGTAGCGTGTGCCTGTAGTCCTAGCTACTCAGGAGGCTCAGGTGGTAGAATCACTTGAGCTCAGGAGTTGGAGGCTGTGTGACAGAGTAAGACCCTGTCTCAAAATAAATAAGTTCTTTATTTTTTTTAAAGGACATCAAAGACAGTTTTTAAGGGAAATAGAAGCCTCCAACCAGCAGCTGATGGCACATTTAGAAGATTAGAGCAGCGATTCAGTCTTGACTTGGGGCCTGGGACTTTGTGGGATCCAGGGACTTATAAGCCCTCCAAGCCTTCCTTAGTACCAGCTGGTGTAGCTACTACCTCTCTCTGGGTTACTGCCAGGTGCCTAGCAGGTCTCCCCAGGGAGTGGCCAGGGCGATGGCCCTGCTGGCCTCTCAGTAGGATGTGTCTGCCCAGGATGGTAATTTTCCATTCTAGTCCTGCCCCAGCATCTCGGCTGGGTTTGGACCTTCTCACTTTGGGGGTAACACAGCAGGTATCATGGGCCCATGCCCACAGCAGCTGATCGACCTGCCCCGAGAACTCAACACCCTGAGGAAATTTCCACCACTTTCTCAGCCCCTTTGTTCTCAGGAGTAACTCCTGTGTTCTTTGTAGGTTTTCTTTTCCTCCGCCTGCAGCATTGCTGTGGATGCCACCCTGAGGAAGAAAGCTGAGAAGTTCCAAGCTCACCTGACCAGGAAGTTCCGATGGGACTTTGCCGCAGAGCCGGAGGACTGTGCCCCGGTGGTGGTAGAGCTCCCTGCGGGCGCCGAGATGGACTAACTCTGGAGGCCCTCAGCTGGAGAGGCCCCTGACACCTGGCTGCAGCCCAGCCTCCCCAGTCAGTCCTCCCTGTCCTGGACCTGCCCTGGCCTCGGGTTCACCAGGCTCTGCAGAGGTGGATCCAGAATTGCCTTCTTCGCCAGTCAATAAGTTTCTCACTGCCAAAGAGGCTGCCTGTCCTGCAGGCACGTTTGTGGGTTCCCTGTCATATTGTGGGACCTGCCTCAGTGGCAGCTAAATCCTTCTGAATGAGAAAAAATTTGGACCAAACATCCAAGAGAGATCTAATTGCTCTTTGTGTAGGACAGTTAGGAAACAAGACACGCTGGGCTGCTCTGAGATGGCAGTTTGTGACCTTTTTGAAGTGGAATGGGGTAATGGGGACAGGAGCCAGAATTTCTGCCTGCCCCTGTTCAAATGGGAGTATGTCACAGGAAACTTGGGCCTGTGAACCCTCAGGAGCCCCAGACTTGGGCGTAGGGTGACAAGAAAGGCGGTTCGGTCTGGCCAGTGGTCAGCTTCAGCTTTTACCATCTAAATCCCATTCTCCTGTCCGAGGCCCCAGAGGGTAATCTCCCAAATTGGTGTGGCCTCTCAGGAGTCTTGCTGGTGCCATCACCTCCCTCCTGTTTCCTTCCAGGACCTCAGACCCAACCCTCCTACATGTCCCCTTCCTCACCAGAGCCACCATGACTTTCTGATGACCTGGAGAGTCAAAACAAAAAGTTCCTGCTCTGAGCATGCTTATGCTCTGTTGACAGCCTTCCAAGTGCTGGAGATGACCTGGTCAGCCCAAGTCTCCCCAGTGCTGCTGTGTGTGGAGCTGTCCATCATTAGAGTAATGCTGCTTCCAGTTTCCCCGGTGTTCTGGGGGCATGCCTCTCATACTGTGTGGGCAGAGTGCTATCTCTAGACGGGCACACAGACCCTGCCACCCTGACCTCAAGCTGTCGTACTGTGGTCAGGGTCTCTGTGCCATCCTTCTCCAAGGCTCACAGTTTTTGAAGGAGAATCCCTGCTGGTTAAGACTCTTGGTTCCACTTGTTTCCTTGAAGATATTTTTCCAAGAGCATAATGTACATTAAAGTCTGAGTTGAGACTACATCCTCTTGTGTGAGTCTTGTAGTTTATCGGCCCAGTTGCCAGAGCAGCTAGGCCACTGTCCACAGACACGCCTCTCCTATCAGTGCCCAGATAACCCTGCTCAACCTCTAGTTGGCATCGCCTCCTGTTCCCATGAGGCGTTTGAGACAGGCACATCTGAGAGGAGGAGTGAGGCCTTGATCTGAATGACAACCGGAAGTGTTTCCTCGTATGAGTGTGTTCCTCTCCTCCCAAAGCCCACTTGTCAAAATCGCTTGATGAGAGCCAGGGGCAGTGAGTGGCATGCCTGTAGTCCCAGCTACTCAGGAAGCAGAGGTCACTTGAGCCTACAGTGAACTCTGACCTTTCCACTGCACTCCAGCCTGGACAACAGAGCGAGAGACTCTGTCTCTGGGGGAACAAACAAACAAAACCTGGGGAGTTTGTTACAACTGTGGATTCCAAAGAAATGAAATCCTGATACATGTCATAACAGGTGAAACTTGCAAACGTCACTACATCAGACCAGACACGGACCACTTGTGATATGATTCCATTCACATGACACATCCACTCTGGGCAATACATGGAGAGGTAAGTACATGAGCGGTTGCTAGAGGGTAAGAGTGGAGTGGAGGTGACTGCCAGCAGGTCTGGGGTTTCTTTCTGGGGTGATGAAATGTTCTGGAATTAGGTAGTGGTAATGGTTGAACAACTTTATGAGTATACCAGAAGTCACTGAAAGTAGGCACTTTAAAATGGTGAATCTCATGGTATGTAAATTATATTGCAATAATTTCTGGAAGTGTGCATTCCCAAGTCTCAGCAGAGATTTGGAGGCAATGAATCCGGGTGGAGCTTGGGTGCTAAGTCTTGTTCATGTGCCACCACTGGAAGTGACAGCACTAGTTAGTCACGAGAGCTCTGTTAGGACAGCACCTGGAAGCTGGGTCATGTAATCCTGTTCCCCAAGGTTGACAGTTCCTGGGTTTACACCCCCCCACACACACACACACAACGAGTTAAAAGTAGCTTACCAAGGACTCTTCATGATGTCATTTAATCCACACAACAGTATATGGTAAGTACTAGACCTACCCCCATTTTACTGGAATGAAAATGGCTCAGAGAGCTTAAATCACTGCCAGGGTCACACAGCTGGTGAGTACTGAGTACGAGACACACCCATGCTGCTGTGGTCTGCAGTCCTCTCCGCCATGTTCATGGCCCAGATCTGCGGCCCTGTGGGCCCGGGCAGCCTTCCCTTCACCCAGGACAGCCAGTGCACGAGATAGGGAGTGCCGCTCGTGTTCTCCAAGCCTCCGTGTCTTCGTAAAATAAGAGTTGGCTTCGACTTGGGGTTTCTCATAGAGTCTGAGACTCTCACAGGTACTTAGAAGTTGACCCTTGTGTTATTTGACATTTTTTCGAAAGGGAAACTACATTTATACAGGATAATATGGCTGGGCTGGCAAGAACAATGGGTCTCTTGTTTAGGGCTGCAGTGACATCGACTTGAGGTCTCCTGCTTGTCTCAGCTGGCGGCCCTTTGTGTGTCTTCGATGAATAAAAATTTGAAAACAGATTATGACTTAATACTTGCAGGATTTGGGGAGGCAGAAGCCTTTGAAACCGAGTGCCAGCAGCACACCTGATCCCTGAGCTCTCTCCAGTTCTGACGCGTCTTAATGTGAAACTGCTGGCAGGACCTGGCCTGATTTTCAAACTCCTCAAACGCGGACCCCCTGGGGCTGGCTCTCATTATCGGGGCTGGTTCATCCTATTAGCAGAATCGGCAGAGGGAGCGACTTTCCAGCCCCTCCACCACCCCCGTGATGAAACCCCCCACCTCGTGTGGTGGTCTCGCCCCTTAAGCGGTGGAGGAGTCCCCGCCACTGATTGCCTCTTCCGCGGGTAATTATCTCCCCACCGTCATCTCTCGTAAATACTGTTTAATACTCCCAGGGCACCGTGACATGCTGGTCTCTTCGGCTAATCAGACTCTGGCTTGGCTCCCGTGCCATCCCCTGCTGAAGCGGGGGCTGGTGATGCAGAATGAATGCTGTGGTCAGAGCCAGCACTGATTTCCAGCAGGACCACCCGGGATGCTCGCCTGAGCCCTCGGTAGTTCTGTGCACCAGCCATTCTGCAGAAGCCACCTTTATTTTTTATTTTTTATTTTTTTTGAGTTGGAGTCTCGCTCTGTCACCCAGACTGGAGTGCAGTGGCCACTCCCAGTCACCGCAGCCTCGACCTGCTGGGCTCCGGCGATCCTTCCGCCTCAGCCTTCCAAGAAGCCACCTTTAATTCAGTCCCCTGCTGACCACGGATGGCGCTTCCGTACCTCACAGTCACTGTAGCTGGTCCAGGCAGGCTTTGTTTCCACAAGGCCCTTCTAGATCCTTCTATCTTCAGAGCATCCAAGGTCTCCAGGGCTTCTTGTTCTCCCCCAGCCTTAGGTTCCTGCTAAGGACTGACCTCCATGCTGAGATGTGGAATACTGGTGGGAATGTCCCCTGCTCACTGCGGGGGGCGGGGTGTATAAGCTGTGTTCACCCCCCACTGCCTGGCAAGCCTACCATCCTGTGTCCTGGGTCTGCTGCTCCCCTGTGGAGACTCACTGATTTGTCGGGAAAACGGGTCCCCAGGCTATCTGCTGTCTGCTGGAAAGGCAGGAGCTGGGGCTTCTCGGTGGTGGTGGCGGGTGGCCCGCCCATAGGAATGGCTTCCACCTTGGGACTTCATCGTGCCTCTTCTCACCCACTTCCCCTGGATTCGCCTCCACCAATGTCCTGGGTTCAGGTCTGGTCTCTCACTGGAAGGAAGCGCCGGCAGGCGGAGGAACATCAAGAGGAGGGTGAGCCCGCGCACCAGGAGCAGTGGAGAAAAACGCAGACTATTGCCAGAAACAGGTGGCTATCCTGGGCGGAGGTCTTCCAGACTTGAGATTGCGGAGTGGGGGCCCAGGGAGGAGTGCAGGGAGGCAGAGGTTGGCTCCGTGCCCATAGCCACAAGGTACCAAGCTCTGTCCTGTCAGCTTATGTTCTAGTTCTTGTTGGGGAGCCACACAAAAAGCATGCCCATAGAATATGTTCTCCGTGAGGAATACTCTGGAAGAAAGTAGAGTAGTAAGGGAAACGGAGAGTCCTGGCAGGCGAGAGGAGGTGTTGCCCTTTAAGTGGAGCAGCATTTGGATAGAGATTTGAAGAAAGTGAGCAAGTGAGCCATGCAGGTGAGAGAGAATGTTCCAGGCAGAATGAACAGTGCATGCAAAGGTCCTGGGCCAGGAGCATGCCTGGTGTGTTGGAGGAACATCAGGGAGTCAGCATGGCAGGAATGGGGTGATCAAAGCTGAGAAACCTACAGAGTGACCCCACTGTCCAGGGCCGTGGGCTGTCAGAAGACCTTGGCATTCTGCTCAGTGAAATGAGGGCACACTCAAGGGTTTTAGGCAAAAGTGCCATAACCTGGCTTCTGTTTCTTTGTTTTGTTTGTTTTTTGAGATAGGGTCTTTCTCTGTTGCCCAGACTGGAGTGCAGCGGTACAATCGTAGCTCACTGCAGTCTTGACCTCCTGGGCTCAGGAGATCCTCCCACCTCAGCCTCCCAAGTAGCTGGGACTGCAGGCGCAGGACACTCTGCCCAGCTTCCAGCTTCCTTTGACCAGGATCGCAAGCTGCTGTGTGGGATGCGGAGTGCAGGGGTCGGGGTGAAAGCAGGGTGGCCATAAGGAGCTAGTGCGGCCATCCAGGTGAGAGGTGACGGGGGCTCAGATCAGAGTGGTGTCGGGCAAAGGCTGCACCATAGTCGTGATCCGGATGAGGGATGGACCGATGTCTTTCAAGGGCCCTTCTCACCTGCCAGCACCTACTTCTCTGAGATTGCAGAATCTGCGCAGAACACCAACTCCAGGCCCCCGCCCCAGCAGGAGTCCCTCTTGACTGTCCTGTCATGAGGTGTGTTAAGCCTTCCCACTCTCAGACGTCCTTGGTACATTTGGAGAGGCGGGCCATGGTGAGGTATGGAGGGCTGTCAGGGGCTTCGGGGTGACAGGTGGAGGACCTGAAGCAGCTCTGTTGAGAGCAGCAGGTGGGTCGGCGGCCCCTGACAGACTGGTCGCAATGCTGACGCCGGGGTGTTCCTGCTGCCCACGGGCAGTGAGGAGGGACCCACGCAATGCCCAACTGTCCACGTGAGTAATGGAGTGGAGAGTATGGTCGGGACTTGTCCACCATGGAATTTCATGGACTTGGAGGTGAATGAAAGAGCTGGTGGGTGCTGAAGGCCCCCTCCTCGCCGCTGGGCACTGTGTGGGGCCTTTCCCTCGCCTCATTTGGTCTGGAGCACTAACTCCCCAGGGAGGATCTTAGCATCCTCTGCGGATAGACAAGGACACCGAGGGGCTTCTCAGAAGCTGGAGGCCTGGGAGCTGGGACTCAAGCCCACGCCTGCCGGAGTCCAGCCCTGAGTCGCCACCACGTAGCGTCCTCAACAAGGACAGTTGCGTAATCCCTGATCGTTCCCAGTGGCTCCGAGGCTGCCAGCCTGGTGACAGGCGGCGACGGTCACTCGGTGGGTGGTGGGTGGGCCCCACTGGCCTCTTGGGTCGTGATAGCTTGCTCACATTTCCACCCAGACCCTTCGTGTCCGTATCTGGCCTGCGGGCACAAGGGAGCAACCCAGCCGGGAGTGAGGCAGCACCTGGGGGTGGGCAGACCGGAAGCAGCATCTGATCCGGGAGGGGCTGCCTCTGCCCTCCACGTGGAGCGCTGGGGGCAGCGAGGGCTTTCTCCGCCCACCCCGTCCGACCCGGTTGCAGTTGTGTTTTGCAAAAGGCATTTGCTGTAGAGAAAGAAGCTGCCAGAAGCACGGCCTCTGGGGGCTGATTAACTAGTGGCTGTCCTCCTAACGGGCCTCTACCTCGGCCGGTCACCCACCCGGCGGATCGACAAACGATGCCCCTTTCCCAAGGACGGCAGCCCGACAGTGGGGAGCAGGTGGGGGGCTCTAGGGCCTTCGAAC